TGGTTTGTCCATGATTGCATCTTCTTCTCTGTATTGTTTGGTCTTCGGTATGGATATTATAGAAATAACAAACAATTTCATAATGCCCTTCCACCTCTCGCATGCCAATAATTACAAGTGGCATTGAATAGGCCTCGGCCATCTGAAAGACATTGAGAGTTTCACTTCAGTAACCATGCCTATTGCAAGAAAACCTCCCTCTGCAACTAATCAGTAGCAGGTGAAGTGAATTCGATGAATTACTAGTACCGCAGAAGTTTTTGAATTTCGGAGCCCATAATTTTGGGACACTCTGCACATTAGTAAATGATACTTGAAGGCACGATTTATCTCAGACTACCTAACAACTCTAATGCCTACTCCTTTCCTACTAAATGATATTCAGATTCGTTATGGCTGCAGATTCATTGGCGTACGTGTCCCTCGGGCCAGCTCGGTTCATAGACAGCCCGCTGCTGAGCCTTTTCGCCTCGGCCCTGATGATCGTGGTTGATATCTACTCCTTCGTGACGCTCACAATGTGTATGGTCTACAAGTGGATCACCTTGAAAGGAGGCTCTCCAAGTGTTAGGCAAATCTTCGCCGTCATTGGCCTGCTTTTCCTTCTAATTCTCTCTACTGTGGTACGCCGTTATGAACCCATAAACTGACAGTCTCTCTGAGACAGAATTTTCAGGCTGCTATGATGATCAGCGATCCGAATTTCACACAATTGTATGTAACTATGGAAACTCTGCTTCCTGAATATAGTATGCAGAGATATGGGATGTATAGTGGACTACCCGACGTTAAGAACTATTTTGTATTGTATTTTGTCGCGGCTCTGAGTTGTCTCATTGGGTCGTCATGCACTGTGATGATGATCACTCTTTTAAAGGTGCGTTTCAAAAAAATGGGAAAGTCTAAAGGATGAGGTCTTGGGGCCTTAATAACGCCCATCAAAGGGATGCGACCCCGCATTCCACTTCCATTCAGAACCGTAGGAGCGTGTTGAATGCGTATGTGGCCATACGATGACTTGCGGTAACCATCTGATGTACAAGTCAGTGCTTTCTAGCCTGACTTGTACATCAGATGGCTACCGCAAGTCATCGTAAAGGCTCCGGAGGGAAGGAAGACTTGGTTGGCCTATACCGATCTCTAGATTCGAACCCGGTCCATGCGTGTGTGAAGTTCCCCACTTGCCACTACATCTGCCCATCTGAAAAGATGACTTCCTTAAAGCAAGTCAGAAAAGTTAGCTGTGTAGACCCTGAAGGTCGCATTTGGGGGAAATTTGAGAGAACAAAGCTGATAACTCTTCCACTTCTCTCCCTAAGTCTCTTCAATGATTATTGCTGTTGTTCAGATCAAGCGATATGTGCGGTCAGTCCAGACAACCATGTCCCCAAAGAGCGCTATGATGTTTAATATGATGATAAAGGTTAGTGGACAACTTTCATTGCTCGATGTTGTGTCATTGTGACGACTAAATCTTTTAATATACAAGGGAAGTCAATTGGTTGGTAAATAAGTCCTGCGACAAACTAGAGATCTTTTTCAAATCATTTCTAAATTTTTTCATAGCAATCATTTTTTGGAAAATATTTGCCGAAGAAGTTAACAACCTTCGTTTATCCTTTGAGCCAATCACTGATGCCATCTGTTCAGGAATGAGGGGATTGTGACTCAAAGAAGTAACTTACTGCTGTTTTGGATCACATTATGTTACGAATTTCTTTTCTACGACGGGATGCTCAAAAAGGCGGAGCACATGGTAGTTTAAAGGGGGAACACTA